TAAATTTATCGAGAAAAGATTGTTAGAACTTATCTAAGATCTGATCTCGATGTTTTTAAATAATCGAATATTCTTCATCTTTCTAAAAAGTCTTGATAATTTTAATTTAATCTATTTTGGTGGATTTTAATATTATAATGGAATTATAATATTTATTTATTTTGATTGGAGTAAGAATTGATTGTCTCAAATTATGAGGGATTTGTTTCTTCTCTGTAGGAAAGAATTTAATATTATTATATTTAATTATAAAATCCATATTTTGTTGTTTTATGGGATCATAAATCAAATTAAAGTTGAATTTGTAAATTTCATTGCAAAGACATTAATTAATCGACTAGGTACAGATTTAGGGCGCTATGGGGGCACTAATCCTTCCTCGCGCGTAATCGACTCCCGAACTCGAGTGTTGGTAATGCATACCTTAATTTGTTGTTTTAATTAAAATTAATTTTATTTAAAATGATAAAAAAAAATTTGGGTGCCCAATCACACCTTAATCAAAGATTGGTGGTGACTCCTCGAACCATACATTTTATTTTTAAAAGGAATCTCAAATTTTTCGAAACGAGAGATTTTTTTAATCACATTTATTTTTTTAATTAAAAATTAACCAAGAAAGAGAATAATTAAAAATGATGTTTTTTTTAAATCTAACTATAAGAAAAAAAAATCGTTTCGACAACATCAACAGTTTCTCAATTAGGATCAACTTTTCATAATCATGGACATGATCTATGATCGGCTTGTAGTCAAACATCTAAAATTTGAGTCATTCACCGACCACGCACATCTTTATACTGGCATAATCAGCTTCATTCTTCTCGTTCAGCATGTCTCAAATGTAATTTGCATTCTTCTCTTTGAGAAACATGTCGAATAGTTTATTCGACATATGACTAAAGAGAACCACGTACCGTCTTGTTGTCGTTCTCGTATTTGTCGATGGAAGATAATACTTGATTTTATGGTGTTTTTAGAAAGTTACCATCAAGCTTCCTTATATAGTTAAGGAACCCATTCACAACATTAATTAAGAATTAAACTTATAAATAAAACTTACCATCATTTATTAAACTAAACTAAAACATAAATTTAATTAAATGCTAAGACGTTTGGTGTTTATATTTCAACAGTTAATTCCATATCCCTTGTCGAGGATACTTCAACTCCTTAAAAAAATGCAACTAAGTAGAACTAACTACAATGATTTCGAGTCCTCCATATCCTAGTCCCCATGAGCTATTGGTTTCCACATATGGAAATTTGCTCACCCCATCCGACACTCGTCAGCAGCCAGGATTCTGACAAAGTTTTGTATCGAGGAAAAAACTTGGCTTTAAACAACGTCGATGCAAGTAGATTATCTTGCTGAAGCAGTCGCCACCCTTGTTTAGCCAGAATGACAAGTGACAATATTAAAGCCTTGGACGCCCCAAAACCCCTGCCCTTCAGCCTTGTGATTTTGATTTGCATAACTCACCCCAACTAAGCTGTACGAATTGAATCATGTATGTAAAACTTTGTTATGAGGTTAGTTCATTATAAATCAATATTACAAGACACATACGTTTTAAACCCAACCTCTCTCTAAGTTAAATGTAACCACACACACAAACATTTATAACTATTTCCTCCCTTTAAATATTCCTTAATGAATACTTAAAACTTGCACAGTAATTCAACACGAGTTTTTTTAATATAAATTTTAATTCTAATCTTATCGAGGAAGTAGGATGGAGACTCTATACGGGAAGGAGGGACAATGCTCTTAGTAACCGTCTAGAACTCATGACCACAAGGACAGACATAATATTTTATGTTAGGAGATGGATTTATAAAATTTAAGAGAGACGAACTTAAAAAATTTAAAAAGACGAAAAATATATTATCAATAAAAATATAAAATAAATAAAAAAATTATATGATAATTTAAAATTTTGATGGGATATATCTCCATCGCAAATAGATCAGAACCTATGAATCTCCACAGCACAAGTTCCTTTAAATAGACCGTTGACCTCTTGTAGTAGTTGTTAAAGATCAAAATCAACTCTTCTGGATATCTTATTCAGTAAGCCTTTGTCCAGTAAGAATATATCATTTAGTGCTAAAAGATTATCTCAACGAATTGGGTCAAAGAGCCCTTATTGATTAGCTCATCAAGTTATTTGATTTTCCAGTTTTCTTATTATATATCTTTAAATAAATTTTTATAAAAAAAGTTAAGAATTATATCATTAATTACGATTTACATTAATCGAGTTAATACTTCAGACAATATTCCAATCAAATCTAAACAAGTTGTCATTCTATTTGTACTTCCACAATTACTTTTATTATTTCTGACTCCTATAATATGTATAATGAATTTTCACTTCATCCATCTTTTATTTTTGGACAATTTTTTGCTTAAATATACAAAAAGTATCAAATGTATGCTTTCGGTTTTAATTTAGTGTTTAACATTTATTTAAATCTAGTTTAGTGTCTAATGTTTTATTCTGTAACTCAAATTAGGTCAAGCCGTGACGGACCGTTAAATTTGGCCGTTAAGTGACACGTGTCACAACCTAATAATTTTAAAATTTTTATTTATATATATATATATATATATATACTTTTAAAAAGGAAACACAAATTTTGAAATAAATCCAAAACTTTGAAAACTTTCATTTCAACCCCTAAACCCACGTTATCGATTATCTTTTGCCGTCGACGAAGCTCCATCTGACTTCTCCTCCCCTCGGCGACCAAAACCCCCATGAAATCGTAAACGATTGACAGTCGATCGATGACGAATCAACGTTTTATATCCCGCGAACCCTAGGACGAAAATCACGATCCCACGTGATTTCGACGGCCGATTGATCGTCGATCAGTCATGATTTCATAGGTGTTTTGGTCACCAGGGGGAGGAGAGGTCGGGTGGAGCCTCATCGACGGCAAAAGGCGCTATCCGGTGTAGGTTTAGGGGTTAAAATGAAGGTTTTCAAAGTTTTTGGTTTATTTCAAAAAAATTATTTTATTTTTTAAAAAATATATATACAATTTTAATTTTTTTATTTTAAATAAAAATTTTAAAATTATCAGGTTGTAACACGTGTCACTTAACGGCCAAACTTAATAGTTTGTCACGACTTAACCCAATTTAAGTTACGGAATAAAACGATAGACACCAAATTAGAACGAAATAAACATTAGATACAAAAACTGAAACCAAAGGCATACGTTTGTCACCTTTTGTATATTTAACTCTTTATTTTTCTATCATTTTAGCCCCTGGTCGTTAATGCTAAAATTTTGGTATGATCCGATGCTTTCACATTTCGAAACAATTGGATTTTGTTTTCTAAAAAAACCATAAAAACATAAAATTTTGAAAATGAATATGTTTTCTTTTCAGATTTTAGGGATTTATTTGTAATTTTCAGGATTTATTTTTTTAAAACGAAATTAAACATATTTATTTAATTTTAAAGAAATATATTTTGAATTTTATATTTATTTTTTTAAGATTTTAACTATTTAGTTATTTTAATATGTATGACATTTTAACTGTTAATACCAAATTCAAAAATAACAAAAGAGCAAAACTGAAATTTCCCCTCTAGTACAGAGTTTAAATAAGTTTGGGTAAACTACATGTTAGTACTTCAACTATTATTTTTGTTCTGTTTTGATATCTAAATTTTATTTTTTAAAATCATGCCTTACATTTAATTTATGTTTTAATTTGGTACCCAATGTTTAAAATTTAACGACGATATTGAGACGTCACCATAAATTAATGTTACATCCTCATTGAGAAAAATAAAAATGTCATGTCAAGTCGTCAATAGTTTTGTTAATTTTTTAACTAATATCAAATTGAAACATAAACTAAATATATCTTTTAAAAAAATAACATTTAGGTACCAAAATGAAACAAAAATAATAGTTAAAATACTAAACTTGTAGTTTAGCCAGAAAATTCTAAGCATAAGATTTAACGGCACATCTCGGAATGCATCTAGATAGTGCAAGAGAAAAGGGGAAGTTGAAAGGAAAGAAAAACATAAATTTTTACCAATTAGACAGCCATTTGTGTGCGGTTATCTTCAAGAGGTAAAAGAACCCAACTCGGGAGACCTAATTAACCCATCCCAACACGGAGAAAAGAAATGAAGGGCGTGAATGAGGATCCAAACCTGACGAACATGAATTGATTTCATAAGTTGAGAGGTATGGTGGAAGGAGAAGCCAAGGTGAAAAGAAATAGTAGAAGAAGATACAAGAAAATAATGTACAACAATGAGTCTCAGTATCATGCTCACCAGTCAGTTCCTGTATGTGGGTTATAATTTTTTTTCTCTCTCTCCCCTTAAGTTTAGAGATTTGTGCCTATTGATATTTTAAAATTGGGTTTTCGAAAAGAAAGAAATTTATGGTGAGTGAAAATAGATTTTAGCTTGTTTTGCTTCTAGTTGAGTTTCTAGGTATTGTAATTGAAGCCAGGTTCTTCTTTCTTGTTTCCTTTTCTTTCCTGCTTTTCTTTTTAAGGATTGTTTGGCTTTCATTTCTCTGCATATGATGAACTTGGATGGATTCCGGAAAGTCTGCAATTAACGCAGACAAAGTTGAAGCTGTAAGGGCAGTCGCAGTAATAAAATGGGGGTAATTTTGCTGTGCGGCGGCCTAATAAAAGCTAATCTGTCTGCAGATTTTAATCTAAAATGTTACCTAGTTACTCTAAAAAGTTGCACAATGAATAACAGTTTCGGTTATAACCAAGAATATCTTGACGTCAACCTTTTAGGTTACAACTGGAATAGTTATGGAATTTACATGATTTGTTACGTTAACCAGATCCCTCTAAAGAGTTACGGTCTTGGTAAGTTTTTCGGTTACAATCAATTCTGCCTTTTTTTAGCCTTATATTAGTTAGTTGTACTTTATACTCATCCTTAAAATTGGGATTTCAATGAAGTATTAGATAATGTGGTACACAAGATTGCTATCAGTTTAGCTCTTCTTTCATTTTTCCCTACTTTTTATTTTTTCAGATTGGAATGTAGAATTAAAGAATCTATTTAATCTTCATGAAATTATTTTTTGTGGATTAATCTGGGTTTTTACTAAAACTTTGATGTACTGTGGGCTTCCGGTTGATACTGATGTTAAGGAAATTAAGATGATAGAAGCTGTACTAGCAGTAACATGTAGAACTGAGGGAAATGGTGATGAAGCTAGCTCTATGGAGGTTACTGATATTTGTTCCACATCTTCAGTTGATGAAAGTTTGATATCGAATATATTCTTTGGAACAAGCATTGGAGATATGGTGTCAGCGGGGAGTAATATAAGTGTTGATGGTGAGATGGTGAGAAGTGAGCTAAAATATGTTTTAGCAGAAGAAACTGTAAGTAGATTAGATTTGAAATCTTATTGTTGGGTCATAATATTACAGAATTCTATATTCAAATAGTTGGTTCAGCATAAACACATCAATCTGTTCGCAGGGTTGAAAATGATGAAAAACTTGGAGCTTTGTATTTATCAAGATAATTTTTTTTGGGGGGGATTTCTATGCTTTTAGGTTGATGCTGGAATGAAGGAAATGCATGCAGAGAAAGATAAATGTGTATAAACCATAAAATCATCTGCAAAAAACACTGTGCTATGGAGCCATCTTGTGAGTTTGGTTTGTGTACAAATACCGCTTTAAAACATTTAGTGTCATGAAAATATAATAAAATGCAGCTTTGAAGGATTTCTTTGTGATGACTAGTTCTTTGGTTGTGCGTTGTTTTCTAGCAGAAACGAAGTTATTTTGATCTTCCAATTGGCAACTGGGCTAGGTTTCTCGATTACGGAGAAAATCATCCAGCAGCAGCCAAATATATGTTGCAAAGGCAAGGGAAAGCATGCTTCCTAAGCAGGAATAATCAGCATATTGGAAACCATTGCTCACAGGTTTAGTAGCATTTACCTTAGAAATTCCCACATCGGTTAAATGAGATGTGCTATCTTTTCGTCACTTTAGTCTAATGCCATCACAAACCACTTTAAGAATTGATAATGCATAGAGGTCACAACTCTAAAATGATGAATTTATTAAACCTGATCAAACATCAGGCGGATTTGATTAACTGGGCACGATTTTAATTTCAAAATCCTCATTTCCCAAATTGGCATAATAGGTTTTCTTTGATAAGATCTTTGGTTGATACATTATCCTTGACACTTTAATTGTTGGTTTCTGAGATAAGGATCTTGGGTGACTGAAACAACACTTGATAATATTACATTAGTATATTAACATACTTTTTTTGTCTTCTACTTTTCTTTTTTCCCCTCCAAACTTTCGATCTTGGGAGAGATGCCCATTTTTTTTATTGAACATGATGTTCAGTTTATAATATTTATTTACTTTTAACGGTTTCAAACCTTGATATTTCAGCAGGGCCAATATTGTTTTGTCTGCAGAGGAACATTCCGCCAATCCCATGATTGTCCAAAGAAACAAGAAGAAAATCATATTATTTGTTTAAGATGTGGGGATTCGGGACATGATATGTTCTCTTGTATGAGTGATTATTCTTCTGATGATCTCAAGGTCTTTTTCATTATTTTTTATGCTTTCACAAATCACCCTTTTTTATCTCTATGAATATTTATCCTAATAATTTGTTTTCTTTTTGATGGGGAAGGGGGATCTGAATCTGGCTTCTTGAGAAGGCGGAGGACACATACTCCTATATCTTTTGAGCCAAATGGTTTATTTTCTTCAACCTGGCTTTGTTTTGTGAGACTAATGATTGCGTATACAAGTATAATTTACAATCAGAATGATTATTCTGTTGCAAACAGAAAATTCGATGTTATGCTTGCGAAGATTTTGGTCATCTTAGCTGTGTCAAACTTCCAGATACAAGTCCAACGGAAGCTTCCTGCTATAATTGCAGCCAGTCCGGCCATTTTAGATCAGTAAGTCCAATCTTTCCTATCGCTTATGGTTTGGTTTGTGCCTGTGTAAGAAACATATTTTTTGTATCTTATCGTGGATATTCCACTAGAACTGCTCGAAGTGTTCCAAAGTTGTTTGGGGCTCGAAATCCCCTGCTTTATGCTACAGGTGCAGAGAGGAAGGTCATTTTGCACGATCGTGCACTCTCCCTAGGAAGGTCTGTTTTGTTGCGTGTCTCCCTGCATTGTTTGGCTAATCATAGGTGTAAAGAAACACCCATGCAGAAAAAATATTCATTATCATCAACACGTCAAATGATGTAACAAAATGTTCTCCTTGTGCAGCATGCTAGGAAAGTTCGTGCCGAAGTGATATCACCGGGCTCTAGTTCTGCTCCTCATAAGCATGAACCTCAAAGTGATGCCAACAACTGCGAGGGCGAAACACAAGAAGGTCTAATCATCAATATCATTCAATAAAGATGGGAGTCATTATTAACCTTTCTCTAGTCACCACCGTGGAGAATTGAGGCAGAATTCACATGACTCCTGCAAGATGTGGCTTTTGTCCATGGTCATCTGTTCCTGCATCAAGGAAATCCAGGTTTAAAATGTAAGAAACCATAGGGGAGCTTTTATTTAACATTCAACCCCACCATGGATTACAATTTTACTTATTTTTATGTTAAATTTAAAAGGGATCAAATTACTTCACTTTTATAGCAGAAAGACTGATTTGCTCTTAAGCCTGTAGTGTAGAGACCCATCAAGTAGTTTAATCTATTCCTTGTTTGTTGCATGAAAGTGAAAGAAAAACACAAGTTATTTTGCAAATAAGATGAATAATTAGAAGTTCGTCTTCTTCTATAGTTCTTGATTACTGGTTACATCTATTATCACTGTACGTCATGGCATCTTCATAATTCATTGATTTATTCATATTTGTAGACCAAACTGAAAGAACAAGACAACTCACTAGTTGCAAACACCAAATATTATATATAAAAATATCACTTCAGCAGTTTACATGATCAAAATGAAATTAAAACTAAAGGTTAAATATGGTTTTAAAAAATAGTTTAGTGATCGAAATGAAATAAAAGTGATAATTGGAGTATTAAACCGGTAGTTTACCCAAAAAATTATCTGGTCACGTACATATTAACTTGGGGGCAATAATTCAGAATGTTCAGAGTTTGAGAAAGATAAAAAAATTATTGAGAATATTGATGAAATTAAGATTGTATAATGGTCTTATGATTCTCGAGAGTTTAATTAAACTTATATTATGATTTTATGCAATTTTATTAATTAAGGATTATATTGAGATTATTGATGAAACTAAGATACTGGTAAAAAAATAAATGTTTAACGTTGTCTTTGTTATAATTTTTAAAAGATTGTATTTTGATGCAACAATGTTGATGAAAAGATCTTTGTTTAAATAATACATCAAAAATAAATACTTAACATTGTCTCTATTATATTTTTAGGTACGTCATAACAGTAATTAAAAAAATATTACTTAATATGTGTTACGTTTAAATTTTAAATTTTTTTAATTTTTAAAAAATTAATTTAATATTTTCTGAAAAAGAAAACACTCCAAATCTGAGTTCATGCATGCGTGATCACCCCTCTTTTTTTTCTTTCTAATTTCACCTTTGCATCACTAGTGATAAAAAAATTAAGGATTTTATAAATTGGGAATTAAGATTTATAATTAAAATTAGTTGTTTAAGATTTTAAGAATTTAGGTGAATAGGGTACAATAAAATTAACGATCGATCACCGGGTGAATAAAGCAATTTGATGACCATTCAACGATAACGAAAGTGACTAATAATGAGTTGGAATGAAATATTTTAAGATTTCAGAGCTTTTTATTGTAATTTCAAGAAATTAGATTTTTTAAATTAATAATATTCTTGATTTTTAAAGAATTAAAAAATATAAACGTAACACATATCAAATATATTTGTTTACACAATATAGACATTTAAAAATAGAGAAAATAATCTCAGTGACCAAAAATACCTTATAATATACGATTTTAACCAACTTTTTATGGATTTTCCAAAATGACCAACTATATCGCAATGCGATCGATAATTCGCAACGCGATCTCCGGTATCGCAAATCAGTTTCCAGATTCGCAACGTGAATATCGACTATCGCAACGCGAACTTCGACTATCGCAATGCGATTTTCCAAATTCGTTGCGATAGTCCAAGTTCGCGTTGCGATTTATTCCAAATTCGTTGCGATGTCCAAGTTCGCGTTGCGATAGTCCAAGTTCGTTGCGATAGTCGAAGTTCGCGTTGCGATTTATTCCAAATTCGTTGCGATAGTCCAAGTTCGTGTTGCGATAGTCGAAGTTCGCGTTACGATTTATTCCAAGTTCGTTGCGATAGTCGAAGTTCGCGTTGCGATTTATTCCAAATTCGTTGCGATAGTCCAAAATCGCAACGACTCGTGGTCGTGGTCGTGGTTGTGGTAATACGTGTCTTCGACACGTCCGCGCGAATACTATCTTTTTAGAGAAAATTCTTAAGAAACAGATGCAATACCACCAGTCGTTGCGATTTTGGACTATCGCAAAGAATTTGGAATAAATCGCAACGCGAACTTCGACTATCGCAACGAATTTGTAATAAATCGTAATGCGAACTTGGACTATCACAACAAATTTGGAATAAATCGCAACGCGAACTTGGACTATCACAACAAATTTGGAATAAATCGCAACGCGAACTTGGACTATCGCAACGAATTTGGAAAATCGCAACGCGAACTTGGACTATCGCAATGCGAATATGTAAATCGCAATGCAAATATGTAAATCGCAATGCGATAGTCGAAGTTCGCGTTGCGATAGTCGAAGTTCGCGTTGCGATAGTCGAAGTTCGTGTTGCGATAGTCGAAGTTCGCGTTGCGAATCTGGAAACTGATTTGCAATACCGGTGATCGCGTTACGAATTATCGATCGCATTGCGATTTAGTTGGACATTTTGACAAATCCAAAAAAAATTAATTAAAATCATATATTATAAGGCATATTTGGTCGCTGAGACTATTTTCTCTTGAAATTATAATGTAAAAAAGTCAAACATCTATTTTTGTTAAAAAAGTTTCTCTACACTTCAAATTAACATTGAGATTATAACCGAGCTTAATGAGGAAAGCTCGTTATGGGTATGTAAAGGCAGAACCCCAAGTTCCCATGAGTGCTCGGTTGGCAACACGTGTCCCACTTAACGATAGCCATTTTTGGGTGATCGTTTGTACCCCAAATGAAATGACGGGTAATGGCTTTAATTGTGTTACAGCTTCCTTTGGGAATGGCCATCATCTGCATGAAGTAATTGGGGAATGCCAAAAGAGCAGATTTGTCAAGAGTTATGCGATCGACCAGAGAAAGATTCCAGACCACTCAATTATTTTAGCTTGGTGTGAACTTTGTCAACTATAAATTGAAAAGTGCTCTTAGTGACGTGGCTATGAAAAGTTGACTTTCCTAGATAAGTTCCCAGATTGGATGAGTGAACAGAGCTCGTCATCCAAAACGTACTTAGAAAAGAAGACTTTGGTTTTACCTTGGGTGACCTTGTGTCCCAAGAATGTGCTAAACTGATCCAAGATAGCTTTAGTAAGGACTTGATAGTGTTCGCTTTACATAACAAGAGAAGATCGTCCACAAAGAAAAGATAGGAGAGTTGCAGTCCCCCACGAGAAAGAACCATAGGATACCACAACTTAAGGTTCTGAGCGTAATAATTACTCTAACCAAGTCGTTGCATACACAACACGAATAAAATGGGGGGAGAAAGGACATCATTGTCGGATTCCTCTAGTGGGCCTAAACTCATCAAACATAGAACTATTTCAAAGATTTTGCATACTAGAGGAGGTGACAATGTGCATGATGATACGGTGGAGTCTAGCAGGGCAAACCATATCAGTAAAAGAATCAGACAGGAACTCCCAAGTAACCCAATAGTAAGCCTTCTCCAGATCCAGTTTGATAGCCATCTAGTAGGTTTTCTCCGCCTTCTTCAAAGAGTGAATCAATTCCTGGGAAAACAAGATGTTATCGTTAATACTTCTAGCAGCTATAAATCTGGCATGAATAATTTTTGGGAACACGACTTTGAATCTATTGACTATAACTTTAATAATAAGTTTATACAGCACCGTGCACAAACTGATGAGCTGAAAATCCATAAAAGCTTCGGGGCTCTTATTTTTGGGAATGAGAACTATCAAGGTCTTATTAAGCTCTGGCTCAGAAGGCTTATCGTTAAAAATGTCCTTAGCCCAGGCGCACACTGACGAGCCAATGATACTCCACTGATTTTGAAAAAAAGAGCATTCATACCATCAACACCTGATGATTTAATAGGATTCATATCAAACAACGTTATGTATTTCCTCATTAGTAAAAAGTGCATCAAGAGAATGAATCTCCCTATCCAAGAGGTTCGAAAAGGCTTCCTGGATAGGAAAAGTGCCAGGATTGCTACCCTCATCGCCATAAATATTAGAGAAAAACTTGGTAGCTTCTTCCCTAAAGCACATTGTCGTCATAACACCACTCACCATTGCATAGACGAGGTCCTGTATAAGGTTGGCTTTTCGGGGACTAAGAGCACGACTGTGGAAATACTTTGTATTTCGGTCACCCTCCAGCCACAGGACTTCTACTTCCAAAGCAACTCTTCTTGATCAAGAACCTTTTCAAGATAAGTATGGATTCTCAACTCTTCATCATAGAGCTTAGGGGGAACCATTCTATCAATCAATGCTTGAATAGCAACAAGTTGCTTCTTAAGTTTGTTCTTTTCTTGTATGATGTGAACAAAAACATTTTTATTCAACTTTAAAGGAATTAGAAAGAGTACTAACTGACCGATGAATGATCCCCTCGAAGTTCTAGTTTACTCGGATAAACGTACCAAAATTGGGATATTTGGTCTATCCAGCAAGGAACCTGAAAGGTCTGTTGTTGTTGCGGGCTCAATCTTCCGAAGTCTGGAGAAGAATGGGCCGATGATCAGACACCTCATCAGGTCAAGACATTTAGAGACACCTCATCTGACCCAAGTAAACTGGGGACTATAAAGCCAATATCAAAAAGGTTATTGTGATCCATGGAATTCTGAATGAAATTACAACCGACTCCTTTACATCTTCCTCCCTTTTTATCTGCACAGTGAAGAAATGCGTTAAAGAAACCGACTAAGAGCCATGGCTATCTATTAGGTTTGAGATTACTCAAATCCCGCCAGAGGGCCTTCCTCTTGCTAGCGTTGGGATTAAACCATAGAGAAAAAAAAGGAGATGTAAGAGCACTTCCTGAGATGTTAGTATGGATGCATTGACGAGCGACAATAATGTCCACTGAAACTGAAGAGTTCCGCCGAGGCCAAATTCCTCCAGAAAAACCTATCACTTCCACTCTAAAGGATTTTTCAAAGCCAAGTTTACCAATGACCCAATCCGCGATGGTGCCACTTATCCGAGGTTCAAGAAGAGCGGTCACGCTCAATTTGTGATCGCGCACGTACTCTATGAGAATCTTTGGGAACTTAATCCCACCACAGCCTTGACAATTCCACGTCAATAATGTGAAATCCATAAAGACAAAGAAAGGGAAAAGAATAAATACCTCTACTTTTTAACAACAATATCCTTACCAGCTAGATTCGCCTCCACAATTTGGAGACGGACATGGTTTTGAATGTTA